CCCCTGGGTAGAGTGTCATGGCATCACAGCTCACAGCAACCTCCAACTCCTGGGCTCAACTGAGTCTCCTGCCTCAGCCTCCCAAGTAGCTGGGACCACAAGTGCCTGCCACAACGCCTGGCTATTTTTTGGTTGCAGCCATCACTGTTGTTTGGCAGGCCCGGGCTGGATTCGAACTCGCCACCTTAGGTGTATGTGGCTGGCGCCTTAGCCACTTGAGCCACAGGTGCTGAGCCTATTCACTTTTCTAATTTTTGTAAATAAAATGTAAAAGTCTAATGTTTTATTAAAAAAAAAAGCCATATATGCTTGGTGCCCATAACTCAGCGGTTGGGATGCCAGCCACATCAGAGTTGGAGGGTTTGAATCTAGCCTGGGCCTGCCAAACAACAATGACAAGTACAACCAAATAATAGCCAGGTGTTGTGGCAGGTGCCTGTAGTCCCAGCTACTTCTACTTGGGGGGCTGAGGCAAGAGAATCACTTAAACCCAAGAGTTTGAGGTTGCTATAAATTGTGATGCCAGGGCACTCTACCCAGGTTAACATAGTGAGACTCTGTCTCAATAATAATATTAATAAAGTTGCTCATAGCCACATTAAAAAAAATAATAAAACTGTCACATAAAGTAGAAAATGCCCTATTAAGTAATCCTATGGGATCTAATGCTCCTAGAGATGAAATATAACTATAAATTAGAATAATTCAATTACCATTATTCTCTGAGAATAGATTTTTTTTTTTTTTAGAGATAGGGTCTCACTCAGATACCAAACTGGAGAATAGTAGCCCGATTGTAGATCACTACAACCTCAAACTCCTGAGCTCAAGGGATCCTCTCATTGGCTAAGACTACAGGCACAGACCACATCTGACTTTTTTTTTTCTTGTAGACATGCAATCTTGCTTGTTTGTTGCCCAGACTTGTCTCCAATTCCTGGCTTCAAATAATCCTCCTACATTCACAAAGTGCTGGGATTACAAGTGTGTCACCAGACCTGGTGCATTCGAATGAAGCTTATATTACACTCATGGTTTATGAAGTCCTAGGAATCAAACTAATACGAAGTGAAATAGATTCAAACTCCCACCTATTCTCTCAAACTGAAATCCAATAATTCCAAAGGGAAATTACCTAAGGAAATTGTATGGCAGGTTTTTCTAGAGAGCAGAGGCTTGAAAAGTGTGTGGAAGGGGCATTATGAAGAAATGAAAGAGTTTTGGTAATTTCTTTAGTCTTCCCTTTTGTAAACAAGTGGAATTTTAGACCAAACTGTTGTCCTTTTTGTTTCTGTATTATTATAATTATTTTTGAGACAGAGTCTCACTCTGTTGCCCAGGCTAGAGTAGCATGGCCACAGCCTAGCTCACACCTACTTCAATCTCCTAGGCTCAAGTGATCTTCCTGCCTCAGCCTTCCAAGTAGCTGGGACCACTAGCACCCACCACAACACCCGGCTAATTTTTCTATTTTTAGTAGATATAGGGTCTCACTCTTGCTCAGGTTCATCTCAAACTCCTGAGCTCAAGGGATCCTCTCTCCTTGGCCTCATAGAGTGCTAGGATTATAGGAGTGAGCCATTGTGCCCAGTCATGGTACTTTTAAATCCACGATTAAAAGAAAGAAATTATAAAAATATTAAACCTCACATCAAACAGGACAGCTACACATGCATTCTCCAGACCAGACCGAGTTGCACAAACCACAGATTTGATCCATTGTGACAATTCTCTTATTAAATGGTTATTTGCCATATTTCTTATAAGCTGCAAAGAATATTTTCTAGCACGCCAAGTATTTTCCTTTTTACTTAAATCTAGGTTTAAGTCGGACTGACAATATTCTTTAATTCCTTTCACACTTGAGTAATATTAGTTTTCTAAAATAGCTTATTTGAAAGAATGCCCTAATTCCATCCTCTCTATAGCACTAGCATACAGAAGTAAATTACAATGTATCTTTAGTGTCCAGCCACTTTGGCTTTTGCCATTTTAAAAAGGTAGGTATGAATACTAACATCAAATGTGTTGGATAAAATTGAAATGAAGGCCAAACCAGAAAGCAGAATTCATAGGGAAAATGATATTATTCCATATTCTTTTTATTAAGCCACAACACCCAAATAATTTTTCTATTTTCAGTAAAGACAGGGTCCAACTCTTGCTCAGGCTGATCTTGAACTCCTCTCACTTCAGCCTCCCAGAATGCTAGGATAACGGGCATCCACTCCTGTGCTCAGCCAAAATCACTCCACATTCTTTTAAAAATTAAAGTAGGAAGGGGCAGCGCCTGTGGCTCAAAGGAGTAGGGCGCCAGCTCCAAATGCTGGAGGTGGCAGGTTCAAACCCAGTCCCCGACCAAAAACTGCAAAAAAAAAAAAAAAA